CTGGGGTGCCATTAGGCTTATTGCCTAATGGCACCCCAGCCGCAATGGGCAGATTGCAGATTGCCATCGGGATCGGTGGTGGTGGGCGATTTTGTGATTGTGCGGCCATCTGCACGGTTTTGTGCACGATTGTTGCATGATCAAGGATCGACATAGTGTGAACCTAGCCTCAAGGATCACCACACCAATGGATTGGAGGGTAGCTTCTTTTTACAACATACAGGACACATGCTCTTATGTGTTTCATGCAGGACACATAATTTTATCAACTGAAGAAATGTGTAAGAACACGTCTTGCCATGACGAATAATGATGTTATCCCACAATCTAGTCAAGTGGGTATCTTTTCAGTGATGCATTGTGACAACAAGTGGTAAAGAACAACCATGGTGTAGTACCACAAAGCAGGAAGCAGAGCTCGCAAATGTAATGAGCAAATGTGACATTTCTGACAGTTATACCGCATGCAAACATCCAGATGTAAATTGACCCTTTTCCACAGTTATGGGCCAAGTTATCTATAAAAAGATAATTAGCTGTATATTAAAATATTTCTAGTATAACCTCATGAATTCTGTATGTATTTTACCATACTGCAAACCAGAACTGCACAGCAGAAACATATTCAAATGTTTTACTCCTTTAATGTTAACTTACAATATACTGTACATATTCAACCATTTTTTTTTTTTCGTAGCCTATATTTCTTTCAAAATCAGTCAGTGAGGTCATCAAATCCACACACAGATGTTTTGTGGTTAGTAAATATAGTTGTCACCTCTTGATTAAGTTGGATATGACATGATGCCTATGTTATAGAGTCTGTAGTCACAGTGGGTGAATCATAAGAAATGCAGGAAAAGATATAGGTTTGTTCCCCATAGAATCAATTTCAGATTCAGCGTTCACTACTCAGTTCTCTACCCTTCACCTGGAAAAGGATGGTGGTAATCTGGCTGATCGCAAGACAAAGAACCTTCTTTTGTTACTCAAGCTTTCATCAATCAGCTTTAGAGTCCACAGAGAGCAATGGAAACTGTAGAGGGTTAATTGTTTAAACAAGAATGTAATTCCACCAACTATATAGTTGAGGTGATTTGAATTTATTTAATGATGTGTGAGTGTTGCAGTTTAACTGTAACTGAGAAGTCACCTTCAATCCCTATACTAAAAGTAATTCTTTTGCATACGGCATTTTAAACAATAGCAAAAGCAGTATGATACTTTCTCTGTTAGATGACTAACCGTATCATGCAGACTAGTTTTACATCCAGATTATCATCATAATTATTAATTAGTATAATGTAATGGGTAAAATAATTATGCAAAGGAGACCTTTTGAGGCATACTTTCACTGTTTATACTGGGCTTTATGTGCTCCTAGGCCCAATAGCATTAACGATCATGTTATATGAACAAATATCACCACAAGGTATTATATACTAATATATACAGGTGAAACTCGAATAATTAGAATATCGTGCAAAAGTTAATTTATTTCACTAATGCAACTTAAAAGGTGAAACTAATATATGAGATAGACTCATTACATGCAAAGCAAGATAGTACAAGCCGTGATTTGTCATAATTGTGATGATTATG